CCCTTCCCCTTCCCCTTCCCCTTCCCCTTCCCCTTCCCTTTTTCATGAAATCTCTGTCTCTGAAGTCTGCATGAAATGATCTAGTAGTGGTCTCAGTCCAAATTGCAATCTACATGTACCTCTGTTCCTTGCAAAACCCTACAGTTTGTACCACTATTAAGTCTCAGAATAGAAGACAAGAGCTTGAAACCTGTGGTTTGCTCTGAAAACACTGCTGAGGAAAAAAAAAAAAAAAAAAAAAAGAAGTACCAACTACAGCAGCTACTTCATTCATGGTTTTGTCCTTGCCCTGAATTTTTTCTTAATTTTATTTAAAGTTGACAGTGGGTTCTCTCCAAGCACTTTTAGGTATTGTCACACTTATTGAACCTGGTCAGTCTGCATCTAAACCCAAAGAAGATGAGACTGCCTGCTTAGACTTTGCTTAGAGACTTTGAAGATTTTGTTGAAAGCTAATTTTTCAGTCAGTTTTCCTCTAGGAGTTGTAAAATAAAAATACGAACAAATACAACAAATACAGAGATTAAGTAGAAATCATCAAGAAAAAACTAGTGTATTTCAAGTATATAAAGTGTTTTAAGTTTTTTTTTTTTTTTTTTTTTTTTTTTTTTTTTTTTTTGTAGAACCTAGACTTTACTACAAGCAGTGAAACATATTTAGTGTGTGTTTTAAGTAAATATCTATGCCATAAGTACATTTTCAAAGTACTGGAAAAGCTTTCACTAATTTCTGACCCTGGGACTTGTGTAAAACCTTGAGCTGCATAATTTGCCACTCTTTGATGAGGTTTTTAGGGGCTTCTCAGAATAATGTAATTAAGAATAACATTTTCTCAGTCCTATATATGCCCAAGGATGTAGCTGAGTCACTGTTCCTGGAGGTGCTCAAGAAACATTTAGATGTTGTGCTAATGGACATGGTTTAGTGGGGAAATATTGTTGATAGGTAGATGGTTGGACTGGATGATCTTAGAGGTCTTTTCCAACCTTTGTAATTCTGTGATTCTATTCCATCTGGCTTCATCAAAAAATAAACTATATTCCTCAGAGTATACTAGGACAATTCTGCACTTAGGATCAGTTGTAAACCGAATTTAGGAGGGCTAAAGAGTAATGCAAAATACATGAAGTCATTGTATGCCTTCTTTGTCAAACCCAGGCACAACTTACCAGCAGTGATTCTATTCCATTTCTCCATCTGTTCACTGAGTTGTTTGATCTCTCTTCCTCCATCTCCTCCTCTAGTCTCCGCTCCACTTTTCCAAGTGCAACTGTGGTCTTAGAAATGATGCTTGTCACTTAGAATTTCAGCTGAAAATGAAATTTCAAATTTCAGAACATGTTCTTAACTTCAGGTGAGTGGATAATGTACCAATAAAGCAGATGTTGAAATCAACATTAATAATCTATATTTATTCCATTATAAATTATCAACCTTTGGCATAGTTGAGAATATCTTGTCTCTGGAATGAACCAAATTACAGACAAACAGATATTTAAAGTAAAAAATAATTATATGTTATTTCTCATGTGCAAATTCATTTCACTATTTTTCTTCCTTGCGCCGAACTGAAAACTACAGAAGTACTACAAAGATACTCATCTCTGTAGTTCTATCGAAATGGTCTGTGGTCTTCTGTAGACATACTTGACTCATGTCACACAAGAAATAGTAGAATGATGCTTATGCAATGCTTCAAAGAGTAGAAAGATATGGTTTCCGTGGCATTAATCAGAACTGTTGGATAATGGCTCCCCTCAGAGGTGGAATAGCAAGTTTGCACCAGCCCAAGATATCTCCTTCCTACAAGGTGTCAGGAGGAAAGAGACTGTGCACTGTGTCTGACTGTTGAAAATGAAAACTACAGTGTTGCAAGAGATTGTCAGTTTAGTCCTTTCCCTTTATGGGAAATGACTGTAGCTAATGATCTGTTGTAATTAATCATGGGAAAATATGTAGGAATTTAGAAGTGAAAAATTGGTACCAAGGATTAGGCTTCATTTTACAAAATATAACCTGCTTTGAGTTTGCATAGCATGGAGAGGAGATTACCTGACTGCACTCTAATGTTTCTACTTCAGAAAAACTAGAAATAAGGCAAAATAATGAATGAGACATTTCTAATAAAAGTCAATTACTTGCAAGCTAGAAATTTTAACCAACGTGTCCTACCAATGTGGAGTGGTTCTGTGCCAGGCCCAGCCATGTTCAGGTAGATTCTCTCTCAGTGGTGTCCCTTTTAACTCTTTAAAGCTTACAAACAAATCTTCTTGCCTTAGAGCTGTTAATTTAATACATCAGCATGTGCTCTATCCTATAGCTGTCTGAGGGATTCTACTAAGGAGCATGGAGATGACTTGCTTCCAATATTGCTTCATGCCACTTTTATAAGATGCATTAAAATGTTCCTAAAATGACTCATCAAAAATCTACTAGAAAGATTTCTAAAAATTACTTCTTCTGAAGAAAGTGAATATTAAAAAAAAAAAAAAAGAATGAATGGAATGTATTTTTTGATGTCTACTACTCTTTCTGCAGATTTCACCAATGCAAAAAATGGAAGATACCAGAAGAAAATAGCAAATAAATAGAAATAGTCAGAAATAGAAAATAGAGTCAAATTAGGTAAGAGTATGTGGTTATTCACACATGAAAAGGGAAAATACAGAGTCTCTGAGATGCTCCAGAAAAGTCTGGAAGATAGAATAACTAACTACTCAGTACTAGTTGCAGAAGCAAATACAATTCTAGGAATGATTAGGTAGGAAATACAGATTAAACAATGCACAGAATTTTCCACAGTGTAAATACATGCTGCATCCTGAATCCTATGGGGAACTGAGTCCTCAGTCTTAAGAAAAGGTACAGTGGAGATGGGAGAGGTACAGAGCAGGGCAGTAGTAATGCTAGCACATATAATGGAGCAGATGAGTTACAAAAGCTAGAGCTGTCCTGTGTGGAAAGGACCCAGCTGAAGTGAAATATGACAGAGCTTTACTGAATAGTGAATAATAAAATGTGGGTCTATTCATCATCTCTTCAAATATAAGAACTGCAGACCACGAATGAACCTAGTGGATGGCTGGTCGAAAGCAAGCAGCATCATACTAGTCTACCAGCTGTGGGTCTGCATGCATAGTATTTGAAACTTCACTGAGATGGAGAGGAAAATGGAGAATGTAGTGGAATAGATTGTTATTAAATGTGTAGATACCACAGATAGCTCAGGAATTCCTTTTTTGATAAGCTGCTGGAGTCAGAGAGAGTATTTCATTTCAAGAGTTAATTATTTTGTAGATAAAACAAAGGCCCAGGCACTTGTGAAATATCTAAAGCAATTTCAAATTTAAAAATAATGTATAATAAACAAAACCACGCAGATAATTTTTATTTTATCTTGGAGATAATGGTAAAGCAAGTACTTTCACTTCCATCAAGCTTTTCTTTGGCAGTTCTAAAACACTTTATAAAGTGGGCAAATAGAATTTTGTATTTGTGTAACAAATGGCAAGGGGACAAGGTTACTCAGTACATGAATCAGAACAAATACGGATAATATGGATAACAAATTTTCTCCCAACCTCCCAGAAAAGCATACCTTTTTCAAATCAAGTATAAGAGATAACAGATAAATTGCTTTGCATTTTCCTTCTTTCAAAAAATAAATACACTAATTAATTTACAGGCTGGAATAAACTAGCATTAATTAATGCAAGACAAATTTTAAGAGCTTAACACACTACCACAGGATGATATATTGCATTTATTCCTGTCCCCTTGCTGAATGGAACTTGGAATAAAAAGACGGGACAAGACCAGAGGTTGTTCTCTTTGGTAACAGTAGGGAATGATAATTAAGACTAAACTTAACATTTGAGATACTATGCAAATGTTCCATGGAGCAAGCAGAACTGTTGTTTTAACAGAAAAGACTTGTAAGATCATCTAGCCCAACCATCCACCTACCACCAATATTTCGCATTAAACCATGTCCCTGTGTACTATATCAATACGTTTCTTGAGCACCTCCAGGGCTGGTGACTCTACAACCTCCCTAGGCATGTTGCAGTGCCCGACCACTCTTTCAGGGGACAAATTTCTGCTAATACCCAATCTGAATGTCTCCTGGTGCAGCTTGAGGCTGTTCCCTCTCATCTTACTGCTATTTAGCTGGGAGAAGAGGTTGACCTCCACCTTGCCACAACCTTCTTTCAAGGCACTGTAGAGCTAGAAGGTCCCCCCCCCAAGCCTCCTCTCCCCAAAATTGAACAATTCCAGTTCCATCATGCACTCCTCACAAGACTTATGCTCCAGGCCCTCCACCAGCTTCATTTCCCTTCCCTGGGCAACAGAACTGATACTATTTCATAACAAAACAAACTCCTTTCTAAAAGAAGAGCAAATACCCAAATCTCAGGATAATCTTTGGCACATTTAATTATAACATTATGACTGGAATACACATAACAGAGCTGATAAGCTGTTTGTATGCTCTAAAGGTCACTGTATTGACAATGGGATTGCATGGGACAGCCAAGATGCCTTCATGGAGTCTGCCATGGTTTTATGATTTTTGTTATTGGTATTCCTTATAATAACATCATGTGAGTGCTTAAAGAGTTAATGCTCCGGTTTTGTGGATTGTCAATTTTTCCAGGGACCTGGTTCTCAGAAGAGAAAAACTACATAATCCAGAAGACTTTCACTGCAAGTCACGAGACTGCCCCTTCTTTACTGCTCATCACTGCATCTTCCCTGCATCATTAGAGTAAGGCCTTCTGTTTTGGATGCTCTCTCTCTCATTTTATTTGATTTATTAGCTTCAATTCCAATTATGTTGTATTATATTGTGTTATCTTGCATTCTGATATCATATTTAGTAAATTAGTTTCTCTCCCTTAGTTTGTGCTACTGTTTTGTTTTTAGGCCCATGTGTCCCCGCACCCCATTAGCCACGGAACTGGGCCAAACTGACCCAGAAACTTCTGGCAGAGTCTGAGTTTGAGAAGGGCTCAGTATTTCCTGAAAATCAGGAATTTAAAAAAATGGATTATTAGCCCACAGCTATGAAAATCACCTGTCATTTTCAAAAGTCTTAATCTGTGTTTTGAATAGTTTAAAATTTCACAGAAGTTGCCAATATGATCCAAACAATGCATCTCAACAACAAAGTGACATAATGTCACTTTCCAGGAGGGAATGATTTGCTCCCCAGTATCACTCACGTGAGTGAATGAATTAGTTCCAAAGGATCTTCTGACATTTAAAAATCTATCCAGGGTAAAGAATATTAAGATAATTGTCCAATGGGCACTCATACAGCATCATCTGTTCAAAACTTTCAATCATACTTAGTCAACTTTTATTATACAAATCCAGAACATAGGACCTATAGAAGATCTATGAGCAATTTTACTTAACAATTTAACTGTAAAACAACCATGCTTATTTTTGACATTATGTCTCCATGTAGCATGGTGAGAAAAACAGCATATATCAGGGAGTCGGGAAAACCCTGAGTGCGGCTGAATGCTCCAAAGGCATGGCCATGGTAGGAATTGCCCCCAGAGCCATCTCACTGGCTGTAAACATGGTGTTGCCAGGCAGTGCTTGGCTATAAAATGTGCTTGCCTTGTGCAAACAGCACTGCATCAAGCCTTAGATATCCTACCTCAGTGAGGAAGAATGCCTCTTGCTGCTACCAGAGCATTACAGCTATCATCGCTCTTCCAAGTGACATATGAAGGCAGTACAGGCTTTGGCCAGATTTTTCCTGCCCACTCTGCTTATGCTGTGAGTCCCCTCTTTTTGCAGAAGACTGGGAATGGAGCACTGCAGTAGAGCTTCTTACTGCTAAATATTCTCACATGGCTGTTACTGAGTATGGCCATTACTGGCTTCAGAAATAATGGCTTTGGTACCACAATATAAAAATAGAAATTACTCAGTTTTCCAATTCAGCTGGCAGTTTTTGTTTTTAATATTTTTATTACTACAGACATCATCGTCCAGCCATCTGCTAAAGATGAGACAGACAATAACTTAGCAGAACTGGAACGGATTTTGCTATATCTGCAGCTGGGCATTTCATTACTGTACTCTGATGGGGAACTGATGAAAGTGGTATTTTGTTCTTTGTATAGAGACAACCAAATGTGATGTACAGCAGTGTTTGTCTGTGAAAAAGGTTGCTGTTGTTTACAGGAAGACCAAATGACCCATACTGATCTTTGCTCACTGCTGTCCTGTCCCTACTGCTAATAAAGAGAAGCAGCAAGGCTGGCGCAGCTCCTCCTGACATCCCTAATGCTCTTTTTTTTTCTTCTAATCACTGAATTACTGAAGTGCTTTAAAGTTGAAGAGAGGTAAGCAGGCAAACCCACTCCAGTGCCAGTCCAGTGACTGTAGGCAAAGGACTGTTCTGTACTTTTCTGGAGCTCCCCGTGCTGCTTTCTTTTCCCTACCATCCCTTTTCTAGTTCTACATATGAATCAGCCTCCACGGGAGAAACTCCATTGTTCTTCTGTTCAAGCTGTTGTCAGCCATTCGGCTTTTCCATATTAAATCCACAATTACTCCAGAACAGACAGTTAGGATGAGTAGCTTTGGCAAGCTGCAGGCTTTACAAAGGGCAGAACACCCATTTACCGTGAGATATTAGAAGATCTAATGAACTAAAAATTTATAACAAAAAAAAAAAACACTTTTTCACTCCTTCTGTTACAGGGGACCAATTGGGGGAAAAAAAAATATTAAAAAATGATCAGATCAAACAATGCCTATGAGTGTTACTGTTAACTCTATGGAAGTGAGGTGGGAAATGTGTAAAGCCTCAGAGCAGCACACAGAAGTTGCGTGGTAGCTTTTACATCAGAAGTCTCTGAGCTTTGGTGGTCCTCGCCCAAAATCGCGCCAGCACAGTTGCCCACTCCATGTCCTCACAGTATAAATACACATCCTTGTACTGGGCCTGAAAACAGCTGGTAAAACTTGCTGGACCTGAAGATACCTTGTGAACACAAAAGTTACCACCTGTGTAGAATTATAAAAATGCAAGAGCTATCTCTGTCAACTTTACTAAATCTCAACAGGAAAACACAACTTGAAGTAGTACATAAATGAGCCCTGATCCACTACCCACTGATGTCAGAGGAAAGACTTGCACTGAATGTAATTGATTGTGAAGGTTTGCAAAATGCTACCAAGATATTCATGTGAGGTATTTTCAAAACTAAATGGGAAGCTTTTTTTTTTAAACAAACAAACAAAAAACCAAAAAACAACCGAAACAACAACACAATTACTTATATAATAAAGCATTGCTTTCCAGCATTCCCACATCTGTAAGAAGCTGACTAAACGACATGATCATATAAAAACTGTATCAAGGAAAAGCTAAAGATGGAAAATCTTTCTAATTAGCTGGGTGGAAACTTATCTATGCCAAGAAGAAGTAGAGTTGAGGACAATATGCAGTAATATATTACAGCTGTTCTTTTAGAAGAGACAAAAAAAAAAAAAATTCATTGTTGTCTTTTTAGGTTTGTACTTTGTTTCCCCCCATACCACATTTCTTTTTAAGAAATCCCTTAGCATGGTTAAATTGGAAGGCTATACGGGAATTCTTAAGCCTCATTATTTTACCAGATGAGAGTGCAGGCAAGTTGTCAGGTCATTTGACCTCCTTAAACAAATTGGCAGAGCTCTGATATTTATGGCCAACAAGTTGTCCTCACTTCCTTTTCTCAAAGTTGTTTAAGTAATTATCTGTATTAATTACAGAAAATGAATCAGTAATTAACTGAATAAATACTTCATGCTTTGCCCGGGTCTTCCTCACATTTTAGCTGATGAATCCAGAGGTTAGAGAGATGGAAGATGATGTGTGAGCCTCTTCTTTTTTCTCATTTAGACTTTATAAAAAGAAAAGAAGTGATGAAGGAAAAGGTGATCAATACACAGTGAAAAGATCACTTATCTGTTTGCAATTTGAGACGAAAAATACCCATGTTAGAAGCTTAAAGTGCATGCTTCAAAACAAGGCCAGATTTTATGGTGCAAAGTGATGTGCAGGATCTCATTATAAAATGGATTCTGTAAAATGTGAATACAAAATAAAATAAAATAAAAAATAAATAAAGAAAAAAAAATAAAATATATGAGAAGGATCACCACAGCAAACTGGAGAGCATACAAACTTACTTATAAGCACATTGCCTATAATATCTATTCACTCCAAAAGAAGGTTGTACCGAATTGGTGCATTTAAACCCTAGTAAAGGTGCTCTTTACTATAGAAATGTTCATCCTGGAAGAACACGATGATATTAAATTATTAAATGTTGATGAATTTCCATCAACTAATCAGATAACCATTGAAGATTATAGGGATTTTTTCAACTACCCATTTTTTTCAGACTTCAGTGTGAGAAGTCAAGTGTGAAAAACATTGTTACAAATACAAAATAAAAGGGCCTGCTCTTTACAAATGCTGTCAAAATCCAACATGCATCTGAAGCCTGTATTAAATAAAGCATTTACTACCATGAAAGTAGTCACCCATTTGTCTTAGTTCTTAGATAAAGGTTTATGAGATAAAATTTTTGTTCACAGATATGACATTTAGATGGTTCAGATATTTAGATGATTTTCATCATCTAAACCTCAGAGTTCATGGTAAAAAGCTTAAGATGCTGGAAGTGGGAGAACTGTCAAGTTACACGTTCAGCATCTCCACCAGAATAGCCTATCTCAACAAAACACCAGTCTGCTGAAGCACTTAAGTATGCCCTCAGTTTCTGGCACATTCATGATCTTGCTGATTTTGGCAAAGGATTCAAACAATTGAAGTCATGTATTAGTTTCATTACTTTGCTGAAACAGAGCATTCAGAATGCCAGAGCAGTTCAGATTCTTGCCCTCTCTCTGCAGAGACCGTGCACTTTGCAGTCCTTGTTTGTTGTTCCTTCAAGAGCTGTTGTGATGCACTGTTCCAGCCTCCTGGCATGTATGCACCAATTCTGCAGAGAGCTCTGACAATTTAGGAGAATGGGAAAGCTCCCAGACTTATTAAGAGTGGACCAAGTCCCCAGTTCAGTAGAGATATTACTTTATTTTTTAATTGTGTTCATAGACTGCAGGAAATATAGTACATATACTTATAGAAAATGGAAATTGCTCATTTTAACATTCTCTCTTAGAGTATTAATAAGCGTATACTCCTTTAGCAGTGTTCTGGATATGTATTAGGATGGTTTTAGAGGGCTTGATTTTGGCTTGCTTTTCACAAACACATCACTAGAATAATTACAGGAAGCTGTGTAACTGGCTGGTTTCTCTTTGCTTCACAATAATGAAACGTATGGTATGAGTAGGAAATGCACACTCTCTGTCTTGTAGTATGCAGGAATGTATTATCAAAAGATCATCAACAGTGAAAGTAGACAGAAGCAGCTGGCCTCACACATGGGATGAAATATGAGAAGATACTAACAGCCTAGTGACAAACTTGTACTGTCTTAGCACAAACACATCCATGACAATGGGAAATGGAGCCAACTAGTAAGAGTGGGCTTCAATAATGCCTTTGTTGTTGTTTTTTTCTGAGGTTTTGGGTTAGCTTTTCTTCTTCTAGACACTAACTGAATTGCCCAAGAAAATGTATTATTCTTCATTTAATATTTCTTAAATTAAATTCTTCTGAAACATATAGGAATACTTAGAACAGTATGCAACTTTACTGATGAAAAGGGTATGTTAGCCAGCTCC